AATCGACAGCCCTTTAGCACATTACTTAGATTTACATTTAAAAACTAGTTTATTTAGTTTATTGAAGCTGAATTCATTACTATTTCTCTTAATACCACATATTTTTAGGTCCATAGTCAGTGTCATACTTGATGTTTCACCAAACCTGTGGGTGGGGAGTAGGGTCCGCCCTTTGAGGTCTGTGTTGTTGTAAAGGTTATGTCAAAGATTGTACGGACCAGAGGGACAGGCCACGATCTTCTAAGAAACCCTGAAGAGGCGAAAGTGGGGTTAACTGATAGCAAGAGCAGCATGGTTATCTCCTGGGCTTTCAAACATCTGCTTTTGGCCGTACACTTCCATCAAGAACCATCTGTGAAAACACTACTGGGGCCTTTACACACATCCAAAGTCAGGTTAAGCATACACAAGCCAGAACAATTTCCCAAAGCTGTTGGAGAAATTTACTGAATGTGCATTTAACATATTATGCGGTTGTTTTCAGGTCAAAATGTAAATATAATAAAATTCTATTCATCATTCATCACGACTGTACACTATATAAAGAGAGGCTGACAACTTCTTTTGAGAGCTGACACTTCACTGTAATTAGAAGAGTGGCTGGAGAATAACAAACAAGATATTATTAAGGGTGTGCAATAAGTAGAATTAGAACTTAGATTGAGAGTCAGTCATTTCTAATTGTCAGTGATCTTTTAATGAAGAGGTCCAAAGTCAATCCACTGTCAGTAAAAGCATGTGGTTTGGAGGAGAGTTCAGACTTTGGAGAAATGTGGCTTTTTTTTAGTTAAATATCAGTGATTAAAAGTAGAGATGTACGACACAATACTGATATCTGATATCTGTGACAATACTGAAAATTTTGCTGGTTCAGACATAGGGCTGAGTGCCGTTTGATATTTTTTCGATACCAGTACTTTAACGATACCTGCTCTTCGATACCAGTTCCTTAATGATTCTTTTTTCGGTGCCTGTAGTTTTTAAAAATGTTAATTAATGGCCGGTATTATTAAGAAAATAATTTTCAGTCCTTGAATTACGTTATAACTATGTTGATTCATATTTTAAAACACTAGGCAATAAGATGTTCAGTCATAACTCAAAACAAATGTGCATTCAAATGACCCAGCTCCTCAGTTGCGCTTCAGTTTAATTTTTGTTTTTGTTTATATTAACGGCAGCACATGGAGCACGTGCTTGTTGTTTTGATAAGTAACTTTACTCTTGTACTGCGCGCTTATCTGGACGGAGGTGAGGGATTTTGGATAAATTTACGCAGTCTCGTTTGGATACATCTTTACGCACTTGCGCTTAACTCTGGTTATGTTTACTACACAACATTTGGAAATTGCGCTTTTACCGAGACCGAGGAAGAGGAGGATTTTGGCAGTTTGGGTCCTGTTATCTGTTTGGCTTCAGCTTTACTCATACACGGCAGAGTGTGACTGAATGTGGATTTTTTATTACGCACAACACTTTGACTTTGAGACACTGTAAAGGCACGTACTGGAGACTGTGCCATTTATTTGTTCTGGGCGCAGTCATGACGCGAGCACCTGCGCTACTGAATATCAGAGCTTGTATTAGCTCTTTGGGTATGTAAAGCCTGACCAGAAAGTCTCTAATGTTTGAATTTTTATTTACACAAAATCTTCTGTGGTTCCTCGAGGGATAAATAACAGATACATAACGCATTTGGATCAGTTTTGTCTTATTTTATTTTTGTTTAAATAAATCCTACACTAGTATTAATCTATATTGAATATCGGCAGATACCTTAAAAAGCTGAATCATTGCGTCCCTAATAAAAAGTTTATATTGTTCAGGAAATTACTGTACTTATGTGTTTTTAATAAGACATAATGTAAAATAAAACAGAAAATCAAGATGGTCAAAATGAGGAAAATTGCCCAATTCTAAAGGTTGAGAGGTTTTTATTCTGCACTCTTCTCTTTTTGAGTTAATTTTACAATGATTACTTATGTTCTATTTGTTTGCACTGTGATTTTAATATATTTCTTATTCTGTTAAGCACTTTAAATTACTTTGCGTACAAACTGTCCAACACTAATACCTTTGCCTTGCCTCTGTATGTAATCAAGCACAGAGCACTGAATCACAATATCAGTAACTATCTCTTGTAATTGACAGATCACAATTTGATTTAATATTGTTTGCTCTTCACTCTTGTCACATTACATTTTCAAAATCATTCAAAGTGGAAAAGGAAATGCTCACTTTATTCTGTTACGCAACAAAGCTTTTATATTGCAGTTGGTTTGAGCACATATTTTTGCCCCTATCTCGCAATAACCTAAAATCCTCTTAAAATGTGTCACAACAGCCTTGTCCCTCTCCGAACCTTTTAGCAGTGTCTACTCAGTATAATGTTTGTCTTTTTATTTACAATCACTTCCCACTTTTAAGTACTTTCCTGGTCAAAAATAAAAGCTATGATGGGCACTTTACAGGCTCTTGATGGAGGCACTTTATTTCGCCACTATGTCGTATTGTCCTTGCCAAGAAGTGAAGATGAAGAGAATGACAGGAGAGCTCAGTCATAACAGCCTGCAACCACTCACTGTCAAAATCAGTACACAGTGTATGCTATCTTGTGACGCATTCAGTGAAATTGGGAAAAAAAAGCTTCGTTCGGGCTGATGTTGAGAGCTCATGTTGCCTTCAGGGGCCTATCTCTCTCCCTCTTGTTTTGGTGCCCTTAACTGCAGAGGACTGGCAGCAATATCGATCTGGTCACATCTTCTCCAAACAAGCAACAACACTGTTTTATGAGCTTTGAATCATCTGTTTACTCTGAGCACTGAAAACTGTTCGTCTTAATAAAATGGAGGGAGATTCGCTACAAATGAGCCATCAGATAAAAGTCTAAGTAATTATGTTTTGAATCATGTGGCAAGCTCCAAAAGTGCACTACATTGCTTCATTAAGGCTGGAATCAGATAAGAAAATGAGTTGCTCAATAAAGGACCAGTAATTGTAAAACCTGCTTGATAAAATGGCAACAACAGCTTTTATTTTTTGGATGTGATGTAGGCTAAAGGCAGGATTTGAGGGCAGTACAGAAGATAATACGCTTACAATAGATTCAACTCCAATACATAAAAGAATCTGTTGTAGTCCAGGTAAAACGTTTTTCATCATATTTGTCAATTTAGGCTTGTCATGATAATAAACTTTGAAGTACAATGTATTGCTGATGTAAATACAGATAATACTGAAACTAATTGATGCCATTGATACACAAAGCCGAGAGCAGATTTAAACCACAAAAAATATTTTAAATGTGCTATATTGTAAAAGAAAACAAACAAATATGAGCTGCAATAAAAATAAATAGCAGTATGAAACACTGTAGTATTTAATTTACATCGGTGATATGCATAGAAGAAGTGCACACGAATACTGTTCCTCAAAAAAAAAGTGTTCTATCTACCATATATTGAACGAGAAGTTGATATAGTAATTATTGTGACAGGCTTACCTTAACTAATTAACTTTAAGGTAAGATAAACCATTATTTATGCCACAACAGAAAAATTACAGTGCAAATAATGATGATGGTGTGGGCTTTTGGTATCCCAAGTCTGATGAAGGGTTCACTGCCTGCTTGTATCCATGGAAATGTTTTGATTAGAATGTTCCACAATGAATGCCTAGGCGCAGTCAGGGGCCAGAGGGTGTTGGGTTTGGGGACCACAGGATCTCATCTGTGCTGTTTGCAGATGATGTTGTCTTAATGGCTCCATCGAACTAGGACCGACAACATGCATTAGGGCGGTTTGCAGCCGAGTGTGAAGAGGCTGGGATGAAAATCAGCTCCACCAAATCCGAGAGCATGGTTCTCAACGGGAGAAAGCTGGTTTACCCTCCCCAGGTGGGTGGACATTAAGAATGCATATTTTTCAAGGGATTTTGAGCAATAAAACACACAAAAAACACTTTATTTAAAAAATGGATATGATTAATGCCATACTGTGGAACATTTTAAACAAAGCAGTAACATCTCTATGGAGAACAGCAGGTAGAGGACCTCCCACAAGAAAAGATAGTTACGGCGCCTTTAACTAAAATGCTTTTCCCTATCAGTATATAATGATATGAATAAGTCCCTTTAAAAAAAACATGCAAAATTAATATTATTGTGGCGTGAGTACATTTTTATGTTTTACTATTTGCTGTTAGTGTAATGTTTTGTTTTCGTTAATCCCAAGGTAGGAATAAAGTCTGTACTTGTTGAACAACCGGGCCATTTACAGTGTAGTTTGTTATAGTCCAGTTAAGGTTGGATTATCCCTGTTCTATGTTTAGTTTGGTGTCGTTCTTGATTAAGACCTGGTGAAATCCCATTAGTTCCCCTTTAACTTCTGATTTGGACAGTGCGGGCTACTGTAAATGATACTACAGTAGCACACACTCATTTATTTGGGATTTTTCATTTTATTTTTTCCATTGTGCATGTCTTAAACACCTTTGACTGTATCAAGTTAGTCAAATAAATGCTGCTAAGATAAATATACGTTATGTAAACCTACATGACAACGATACTATAACAACCCAACAGGCCAATAGCCCAGTGTACTCTGCATATCTGTCAGCGTGGGACAGGCTGACTAACTATCATAACAACTTGCACGAAATGTTTAAACTGTGAGACACATATTGTCAAAAGAGCACAGACAAATTACTACTCCAGCAAATTTTTACAAAAGAGTGCAAACCGGGCAGGAACTCATTGTAAAAGGAAGGAAGGCATTACGCTAAATCCGCGTTTTGGGGGAAAGCTATGAAAGATTTATTATAAACATTAACATTGTCAGCTTGCCTGTTTCAGTTTAAGTGACACTGCCCTGTCAGGCGCATCTGATTTTATTCCTGAATTTATCTGTGATTGCATTTCAAAAAATACCAGTGACTTGCTGTTCCCTTATCACAGTGAGAGATACAATCAACGTCTTTACACACCACGGTCAGCCTCTTACCTGAGTGGTATCTTGACAGCCAGGTATCGGTCTATCGCGATGGCCAACAGGCTGAAGATGGAGCTCTGCGTCAGTACCAGAACGAAACACGCGAGGAACAGGCACCCGTAAAAGTCCAAGTGGATGCCTATGCTGATGATGATGGCGAAGGGTATGGCCAAGCACCCCACCAGGATGTCTGCCACCGCCAAAGACACCAAAAAGTAGTTCGTGGCGTTTTTTAGAGTGCTATTTATGGACACTGCCCAGCACACCAGCACGTTACCGGCGATCGACAGCACCGCGATGGCCACTTCAATCAAGATGTAACCCGGATCCATGACAGTGTCAGAGTGCGGGACTTTGAGCTGCAGTGATCCTACACGTTTAGTCCAACGAAACTAAAGTCTGTGCTCTATAAACCCAAAATAGTCCACAAGTGTGCGCTTCAAACGCCATCTGTGGAGAGAAAGCACTTTTAGAGAACATTGCAATTAAGTGTTAACAACTCTATATTACAGTTATTAGGCAATACTAAAGTCCTCAAAAGTAACTCGCGGCATAATCCCACCTCAATCAGTCTGTACATGTTTGTTAGTAGTGATGTCTCTGCAGCGATAGCCGTAGACTTGCTTGATGAAGCATCTCTGTAGCAAAGACAGTGTCAGAACTTCCCTTACTGCAGTTTTCAAGAGGAGGCGGAACGCGGGGAGAAAATAGAAAAAAAAAAAACAAAAAAAAAACGTTCAATAGCACGAGCAAAGCCACGCCCAGCACACACGCAGACAAATGCGCACACACATCGCAAATGGCAACTGTCGGAGGAATCCTCTCCAGCTCTAGTCGTGCGTAATTACGCGCCAATTAAGCCACAGAGCGGAGTCACTTCTCTTTTATTGTTAAGGTTTAAGGCGTGTAAATGCACAAAGTTAAGTTTTTCCACGTTTCACAAAGCTAACCTACCTACACCTGGTTAAAGTTAGGCTTAAATTTCAAAATAATGTAGGCTTACCCCAAAGCGTGTAATGCATAAAGGAAACCATATCATACGCATTCAAGTTTTCCACTGTTTATGGGAAACTGTTTACTTTCTTTCTTCTATACGTCAAGCAGTTCAGCAGCTGGAAAAAAAAAAAATCTTAAACAGTTTAGAAATCTTAAGACATCCCAAATAATAGCGAGTGTTCATGGAGAACTTCACCACAGTTCAAGGGCATCAGTGAGCAGGCAGAGCACGAGCTGTTGTTGACAGTCCGCGGCTCAAGTTTACGCCTGTGACTTTCTGATGAGGGGAACAGGTTTAGACGTTAGAGCTGCGTCCGTTTAAAGTTTTATAATCTGGCTCTCATGGGTCTATATGTTACAGGCACATTTGCCTGTTTTTTTAGACAAAGTAGGAAATACATGTTTTATGTTCTACTTTGCCCACAGGCTTTGTGTGCTTAAGGCAAAGTGTGACAAATGGGTTTCATGGTTGGATTTTTATTTTATTGAAGGTTCTTGCAATGTTTGTTTGTGGTTTGACATATCGTTATTGAGATACTTCAAAAAAGATATCCACATATTCATATTTGTCAGCATAGCCCTAATGGCAAGATCCTCTCCTCAAACCTAAATATAACCTATACTAACAAACCTTTGTTGACCCTTTTTTGTTCAATAGGTCTATTTTTATTTTTATTGTTTGCATCTTGTACCTTGTTTTTGGTTACCATTTATAAACTGAATCAAATGTGTGAAAGCACTGCTAAAAATAAGTGAGCAACGTGAAGTGGGTTAAATCTGGCAACTAGGAAAAAGCCGTCAACAAGTGGTAAGACATGTGGGTAACCGAGAAGTGCACGATGATTATTCAGTGAAGTAAAGAAAGACGCAAACAGTTTAGTTTCATGTTTTCAGAGATAGTGATAGTTTCATATTTTGCCTGTTTCAGGGGTTCTATAGAATGTAGGTACTACTTTGTAGGAAGTCCTTCACTAAATGTATTAACTATTAACAACTGTGCATCTTAGTACAATTATATTTCAGTAACTAGTATGAGTATCACATCGGCTATAGTGTCATACAGTCTTAAAGACTATTATGTTTTCAATTCACTGTACCAACCAATAAACAATCACAAAAACAAAATAGAATATTAACCAAAAACTCTTTTATTGTTTCCATATATCAGAAAATACAAAACCTTTTAAGCACATCTGAAATGAAATGTTTATGTAATGCATGTAAATATATTAAGTCTAACTCCAAAATGTAAAAACAAGAACACTTCTATGTGCCCAACATGGCATGTGTTTTAACTTATGTAACAGTCATATAAATGTATGTCTATTGCAGGCAGCTGTTGTAGCTCATTGCACATGTTGTGATTATGTAAAATAAAAATACCTGTCTGTTTCATAAAATGCTTCTGTAAAGTTAATTTAACATTAGATAAAGCTTCTTTTTTTTTTTATCTCTCTCTGACAACACTGAAAAAACTCAAAGGCTTCAGATCAACTCAAACCTGTGAAAATACTCTCTGCTCTGCAAAGTACAAACTGAAAATCAATATTTACAAGAATGTAGGTCAATGTTGGTCATAAACTGACATTTGACCACACATATGTAGAGTCACTCAGACTGGACAGGTTTACCATGAACCATGCATAGATAGTTGTGTTTGAACAAGATTTGGCACAAGGACCAACAAACATTTGTGTTTGATCTTTGACACAAAAATGGATTTGATTAAATGTTTGGCAGGACACAGACAACAGGCTTCCCCAATTAAAACTAGCTGCTTGAAGAGAGCTATTTTTGGCCCTGAAAGACCACCTGCCTAGCCTGCCCAAAGCATATTGCTGTATGCGGTCCCAAGTTAAAGGTGCACTGTGTAACTTGTCTGGTGGAGGGTCCTTCACCTGCTCCATGGATTATTCCACAGTATGGCCATAAACTTCTGAATCTCCATGGAGACTTGCAAGTCCAATTACAGGTTGGATTTGTGGAGAGGCGACCCCACTCACAGTCAGAGTTTAGGTTTTTTAAGATATTTTTGAGCAATAAATAACACCCATAGTTAAATAAACGCAAGACAGATGGGTTTAATTCCATACTGTGGACAATTTAAACCAAAGCATTAACATCTCCATGGAGACAAAACAGGACCCTCGCCAAAAAAGTTACACAGTGCACCTTTAACATAGACATTTGAAAATGATCTGACCAAGTTTTATATTTTTCACATTTCATACTTTTTTTGATTGTGCATCTCTATTTATAAGTCTTTATGGCAGTTGTGGTGGTTCTTTCTTCAGGTGTTGTCCATGGTCAGATGGATTAAACAGGACGTGTGGCTGTGGTCAGAGGTCGCACTGACACACAGGACAGGAAGGACAGGGGTCTCTGCATTGCGTCAGGTCTCGAAGTATTTGTATATCTGAGAAACGTACTGCATCACACTCTGCCAGTCGGGCCGGTCTGTTCTCATCAGCTCTTCTATGTCCTGGAACAGAATGAAATCAGGTTAAAAGGAGAAACTGTACAGAAGTCAAAACTGATCAGAAAATAAATGAGGAAAAGGACAAATCTTTCCTAAAGAGTGTGTGCGACCCAAGACAACACGCAAACACACACAAACAGAGCGAAAAATGTTGGTCCACAATACTAAAAAACTGTTCTAAAAAGAAGAATCTTGCATTATCCACATACTGTAGCAAATATAAAGCACTGTAAACATATTCCAATAAAAAAGTTATAATTGTTGATTTTATTTAAGTAGCTTGAGACGCTCTTTGAGAAGGTCCATGGGCTAATGAAGCTAATGAGTGAGTTGTTTCTGAGATATCCATTTTTTATTTTATTCATTTATTTTTCTTGTATGTACTTTCTTCACCTTGATCGTTGAGCTGCAATATATCTTGAAGACACATGTTCAAAATAAACAAACAAATAATATCATTCAGTCGATATTCAGGAATGTACCTGTAAACGTCTTGATTATCCGCAACAGGGCAGAAATATTACTTTATTCTTGTTCGGTGACTAGAAGTTTCTGTCTTTTTTTGAGGTCATTTTTTGCATTTTTAATAGTATAGTATTTACAGTTTTAATTATTGACAATATACTCAATATTCTAACTTTGCATATCTCCAAATCTACCTTCAAATCTACCTTGTATCGAGTATTTTTAAGAGACCTGTAACCTCGCCTGTTGATAAGTCCCTTAACTCAAAGGAATGACTCTTAGCAGTTTTTCATTAAATTAGCATTAGCATTATGACCCACAGCGAGCCAGTCAGCGTTGCGCTGACAGTGACAGGAGACTGAAAGACCAAAACAAACAGCTTGTCTTGGCTTTGCCTCAAACACAAGAAGAAGATGATCGGCTCCTCTACATCCGAGCACTGTATTTATGCAGACGATAAGGGCAGAAACTATTTGTTGTTTTTTCTTACACAATGACATGGGAACAAGTTTGGCCCTAACCACAGCCACGTAATGGAGAATTAATTCCACAAAGAAATGTGAACTTTGACCTTCAGTCCTAATCCTCTGTGTGAGACCAGGATCTGGGCTCAAGGCAAATGAGCTGCTATTGATTTATGCACACTGCCTGTCACTGTGTAAGTATCGATGATATGATGGAGGTTTGAAAAAGTGAGGAGGCTCTATGCCCTGACGAAGACCACATTTATCGAAGTGTGTTGGTTTGTCCCATGTAAAGGACTTTTATTCTAATTCCAACATAAGTAGACGTCTGTTTGGGTGGAGAGGGGGCCAAAAGTCAATACATAGATTCATGTTTATTGGCGTCTCAGTAATGCTGACTGGTGCAGTACTTATCACAGGACATTACAACATAACTAGCACCATAAAGACTCCCCATAGGACGTCTTAGAAGTGGGCTGATTATTCAAAAAATCATGTTGTTTTGAAGATATGCAAAATGGGAACATTGCATATTGCAAAAAACGGGTGATTTGATTAAGAATGAAGAAAAACAAGCTGAAAAGTAAACTTCCATATGAGTATAAAGTTCTAGTTGCAGTTGTATGATACTTAAAGCTCAAGCAAACATGTTTGAACGTATTTCATTTGGACTGACATGTCAATATTTGTCCACCTCTGGGAGGACTGGGCTGAACTGGAGGAGTCTTCATGATAATGTGTAGAGGTTTTTCCTGTTATGGAACAACATAGCTGCAGGTTTTGTCCTGATCTTAAAACACGGGGCACATTTGGTGATTGATGGAGAGGGAAGTTACAGAAATTGACTTTTGTTCCTGGCCATGGAGGCCCCTCACCACAGGAGAAGAGGAAAACAAGTTTTGTTTCTTTCTTCACTTTCCTCTTGGTATTTCAAAAGCTCTAAAATATGATTACAAATGTACTGAATACTATTTATTTTGATGTAACCTACATATTGTTTGTACATTTTGCTATAAACTAATGTCCTAAATGAGATGTGGATGTACCATTAATCAATTTGAATGTACTTGTTAACCCAAGTCCAACTCAATATGACCGGCGACACAGTGATCAGTGCACATGTGAGGGCTGCTGGCCTGGGAATGCTTCACCATAATGGTAAAATCATGACTGTTTATTCAGAGCATTCTATTTCCTGCAGTTCTTTGTAAAGGTCTGTTCCTTTGCAGAGTGATTGTTCCGCTTAACAAAGGAAAGCAGCTATTAAAAATCATGTACCTGCATTGGTTTAGACGTGTAGCCTGGTGTTTGGCCTCATCATTTATATTCAACAATGTAATTATCTATTTATTTAATTATGGGTTACTTGTAAGTGCCTCACTTGTGTGTCTGCACAAAGGTATACAAGTGCAATGCCATACTGTAAGACATTCCAGGCAAAGCAATAACATCTTCATGGAGACAAGCAGGCAGCAGACCCTCTACTAGAGAAATTGCACAGTGCACCTTTAACTCAGATGCTGATTGATGCAGTCTATGAGTTGTGTATATAAAAATTTCGAACGGAGCTACAATTCAACCAGACTCTTCCTCATTTTCTGCTCCCTCTCAGCTCAGTATGGGAGGTCTGTGGCACTCACCAGGGAGGGTTTGATGCCGATGCTCTCTGCCGCCTGGAACGCAAGGGTCAGATTTCGGACCTGAAAAAGGGAAAAACAAAACAAACATTTGATACAGAGACCAGACCTTTTCGGTCTATAGCCACCACACAGGGACCTACGTGCTTCTGCAATAAGAAAGACCCCAAACACAAGCTCCCGAAGAGACGGTTCAGTTATGTGGTGGTCTGAGTGAGCGATTCAGCAAGTTATAACTGCTCTATTTGTTTGAAAAGTGTCAAAATATACAAACGAAATGTCCATGTAGTGACCATAGGAAGTCATGTGTGTTCCATTCTCATCGTATAATGTTGTGACAACTTTGACATTGTTGAAAGATCAGTTGTTGTTGGACTCATGTGAAGTCTTATCTCAGTGTGATTTCATGTTATTTACAGTTATTTCCATGGGTTTCAGAGTGATGGAAATCTAGTATTGTTGTTGTTGAAATTCAGACTATTCAAAACAAAATATGTCTTTTTAATTCACAAACGTCCTGAAAATGTCATCTATACACAAGAAGCTTAAAATTACAACAATTACATATTTTGATAAAATTTGTTGGATGTTATAATGATGTTCCTCCTCAGTTGTGTTTTGTTCATGTGGTAATATAGGAAGTGGCTCAGCATGTTTTTAAACATACACCTTCACTAGAAATATTTAGATGATTTTAGCCTAGATAAAAGGTAGCTGTTAACTTTAAAATTTCATGACATCACAAGGTGAAACAAGGCATTTTGAACTTTGGAGATGTAAACAGGTTAATGCACTAAAGCATTACTTAAACATGTGTGAATGGGGAAAAAATAATGAATAGAAGAATAATGTTTATAGGACCTTTAAGTTGTGAAATTATGTGGTCATTCTTTTTTTTTTTTTCATTTGTTATGGGCACTGTGTTTTGTTTTTTTGTTTGTAGAAGAACATATAAAAATTATTATTGTTGATAACATGTGGAAAGCAATGGTAAGTCAAGAAATCTATTTTACAGTTTATTTATTTTATAATTGATTTGACTGAACTGATTTTATACACATTAACAATAACAGTGATTTAATAAATATTAAACATAAAAAGTTTTGCTTGGTAAGCTTCAGAACAACATAGCAAACTAAACTCCCAGCCTTCCTTACATTGTACCCCATCTTAAATAATACCACCTGTCTGATCAGTTTAGTGGGTCCCACCTTATAACAAATGGCCTTTTCACTGATACAAACAGAAGCAGTAATAGGATCAGGACAGATTACAATAGTGAGCCCTTGGGGTATCCACTCAGCAACAGTAGTTATTAAAAACACATGTCTATTCAATTATTGAGACATGAGCTGTGTAATGTCGCTTTCATTCTCCCTATGGTCCCTGCTGCCCACACACCTCTTGGCTGCCCAGACAAAACCACACGAAACCACACGCTTTGACAATACTCTACAAAGACGTGTCTGGAAACATATCCCATCCCCCTGAGTTCAGATAGATGTCACTGACAGGCAGATAAATCTATCAGAGAGATGCATTATCCTTTAATGATGTCGATTTCTACTGAAGCAACAAGCAAAGCATTCAACTTTTGTGAATCTAAAGCAGTGTTTTTCAAACTTTGAGTCACGGCACACTTTTTTGGAAACAAAAATGCCACACCACCACTAAAATATTCCCAAATTACGCAATTTAGGACAAAAATGGTATATGGGATATTTTCAGTGCCCCTTTGCCTAGTTATTGTCTTGCTTTCTCAACTGGTTTAGAAGTTGCTCAGGATACTTAAAATGATAAATTATTCAATTAAATGCATGTGAATTAACTTAAAGGTGATATCCAAAATTGACTCTGGTGAGTTTTTAGCCATGTTGAAATGTTGTTACCTCATCAAAAATATACCTGGAGTTTTGAGTAACTCTTTTTTATAAGTGTGTCTATATCTTCACAGCTCAAAATGCTCTCTTCCACCTTGTGACATCATGAAGTTAGTAAACAGCTATCCTTTACCTTTTGCTCAGTAGAGATTGGCAGTACCAGGAGTTAGATTATCCAAATGATGCTAAGTGAATAAATGCTGGATAGATTTTTAATGCTATGTGGAACATTCAAGGCAAAACAATCATTTCTATGAAGACAAGCAGCCAGTAGACCCTACACTAGAAAAATGACACAGTGCACCTTTAATGATACTATCTATGTAATAATGGTTAGCTGGGATTATCCTACTTTATTGCTGTTGTGTGAAAGGCATAACGTAGTTTCAATCTAATCATTATTGCATCTCTGTAACAATATATCATGCTTCAAAGTCTGTTATCGTGACAGGACAAAGTAGGACACTTGTACATTTAAACAGAATGGTCTTTGCATCAGACAAGCACTGCTATTGTTTTAAAAGTGTGGTTAAGATCTCAAGGGAGGAAGTCCAGTGTTTTGACTGTGGCCTATAGTGTATTCCATATGCTTGCTTGTCAACTGTACCGGCTGTTCAGGGCTGTCGGATGATGTCTATGTGATTATACAAACAAACATAGGTGGAAGGTAACAAAGCTAAACTAAAGTACTGCATTTAAGTATACATTTGAGGTAACTGTACTTTACATGAAAGTGCAGTGAGCGACTTTCTGGTGGAGGGTTCGCCACCTGTTTGCCTCCATGGAGATGTTATTGCTTTGCCTGGAATGTTCCATGGTTTGACTTTAAACATATCCATAACATTTCATCATTACGGTTGTTCCTATAGCTCAGAAATACAGTAATTTATTCTGTGAATAGGAACGACTCTCCACAGATCTGAACTGTAATGTAGTGTAGTGCTGTAACCTGCTTGTCTCCCTTGTGATAGACAGGTTTAATCTATACCGTGGGACATTCTAGACAAAGCAATAATATTTTCCCCCATAAGAAATGTTAAGCAGTGAACCTTTAAGTACATTTTACAGTGGGTACTTTTTACTTTTTCTTCACTACATTTGAGAGCAGGTATCTGTACTTTATACTCCACTACATTTTTAAACTGGACTGAAAAGTAAAAGTATTTGTTGTTATAGTCTGAGACCTGAAATGGCTGAGGGTCTTATTTTTTTATCATTGTTTGAACAAACTAAAATATACAAATAAAACAGTAAGGAAAACAACTGATTTAACTGTTTCTGTTAAACCAAATTATACACAAAATCATTTGAAGCTTTAGAAGACTTCAAAATATGTGAGAAGTACTTTTACTTTTTACTCTTTAAGTACATTTTTAAACAGGTACTTTAATACTTGAGTAGATTTTTTTCATGCTATATTTTTACTTGAATATTTTTTTTGCTCCAGTGTCTCTACTTTTACTTATTGTGTAACTTTTCTCCATGAAGATGTTATTGTTTTGTCGGGAATGTTTCACAGTATGGTTTAAACCTTGGAGACCAAATCAGACCAAGTCAGAGGTCAGATCTGTGTAGAGGCAACCCTGCCCACAGTCAGAATGTCTGTTTTTCTAAGTATTTTTGAGCTATAAAACCACCTGTAATTGGTTAATGTAAAGCAGAGCCATTTAATATCGTACTGTGGAACATTCTAAGCAGAGCAATGACATCTCCATAGAAACAAGCAGGTGATGAACCCCCAACTAAAAAGTTACACAGTACAGAGTAACAAAATTGAGTACTTCTTCCACTACTGTAAACAAAGCATTCATAATTCATAGGTGGAGTGTGGACTTAAAGTGTATGACCACAGACAGGAAGTCCATCTAATGACCGTTAACTGTGGGATGAAAGATGTCGGACAAAGTGGAATCACGGTAATAAAGAGTGTAATAAAGTCGATTTTCCTTCAGCTCTTAAACTAATCACCCCATGTGCACCACTTATAGGCATTAAACATTCCACAAACAACATCCTGTGGTCTGAAGAAGGCAGACAACTGTAAATGATGTCCTGTTCAAATTAAATAAACATAGTCCTCAATACAAACAGAAGAATGTGTCGAAAAGAAATTAAAGATCCTGTATTATGCAAAACTGACTCTTGTGAGCTTTAAGTCATGTTAGAATGTTATTACCTCATCAAAAACATATCAGGAGTTGTGTTTTGTTTCATTCATACATGTTTCTGTAACACTTTATTTTTAGTCTATCTATGTCTAAAATTATCCAAGTGATTCTAATCAATGTGTATGGAGTTTTAAAACACAGTGGAGCACACATGACATCACAAAGTGGAACAGAGCGTTTTCTTTTTGCGAGAAGATGAACATAGCCTAAATAGTGCTTGTGTGTTACACAAATAAATGAAAGATCAGAAAATAGTGTAATATGGGCCCATTAAAGGCAGTGTACCCAATTTACATCAAAGTAAGTATGCGGTGTACAGTATCTTATTAAGAAACTTTTTATTGTTCAGTAAGTGCGTGGAAGTCTGTGTTAGCATGCTAGTTGTTGTTGTTACCTTTACCATGATGGCAAAGCATGACTGATCTCTGAAAGTTATGAAAAGTGCTTATAAACTCATCACAACAAATAACTCTATACTATGCTCAAAATGCCTAAGGTAAGTGAGTAATAACTTTGGACCACTGTAATGAACATTTTTCACATTTTTAAGATTCAGCAATATAATGGGGTTTACTGAGTGAAAAAATCTAGACAATAAGTTACATGAACCTTCTAAAATGTGATGATATCATCTTTTCAGAAGGGGGAAGGGGCCTTTAAATATCCCTATTGTTTGAAACTGAGCGGGGGAACAGCTGATGTCATGTGAATGTAACCTGTAATTAAATCATTATCCCATTCTGTGTACCTCCCTGGAAGTTTTCTATACAGATATGGTTCAGAGCTCGCAAAGGAACTTATTGAAAATGTCCGTCAAACCTTCCCCATCTTTGTTCATATTAAAATGTTGCCTGCAGTGAAATCTGGTTGGGAAGAGGCGCACTGCGAACAGCCAGAGCAGAGTGACTAGGGTTTGATATAAAAAAATTTTTTAAAAATCCAATTCGAAGCAATCTCAGAAGGCACAGTATGACCAAAAACTTCCAGGGACTAGTTTCATAAGATAAAAATATTTAAAGGAACCATATTACATTATTCTCTGATCTATATTATCTATGTTTCCTCATCACAAACATATCTGGAGTTGTGTTCTTCTCTTAAACTAAAAACAATCTGTTCCACCTTGTGATGTTATGTGGCAATACAGGAAGTGCTCCACTGTGTTTTTAAACTCCATAAACCTTCACTAGAATCAATTGGATGACTTCAGCCCTGAAAAACTATTACTACATGACATCACAAGGTGGAACAGAGCATTTTGAGATGTAGACACACTAATAATTCAGGGTTTGTGTGTTAAACATGTGTGAATGAAACAAAACACAACTCCAGGTATGTTTTTGATGAGCATAATGTGGCTTAAAGCTCACAAGAGTCATTTTTGCGTAATATAGAACATTTAATTAAAAATTAAGCACAATTTTGGTCATTTTGGAGAAGATTCTGCCAAAAGAAAAAGTGTAAAAAGTCCAGGGATGAGATGGACAAATGACAAAATCAGCAGCAACACGATGCACACGCAACACGCACATTTTAAAAACATATTTAAATACCAGTTTAAAAACAGTTCATTTCAGTTCAGTTCAGTGTTACATCCGAGCAAGGTATCTGGCGCACACCCTTTTTTAATTTGAGCCATGTAAAAATAACTTCAAAAATCAATGGATCACAATGAAAGCATTCCAACTATGCATAACAAAGGCCCTATTGTACTCCCGTATATGCCCATGTGTGTAGTAACTGTTGAATATGTGTTATGTTTTACTCGAGAGACAATGGTTTACATAACTATAACAGGCAAAAGATGTGGTGACCTGCTATTCTCACGCTTCCTTCCACTCACATCAAACAGTCCATGACCCTATGTTGACCTAAATGCGTTCAGTGTTATATTTTTCATGAGTTTTATTCTACAGTTGTCCTAAAAACATGATAATTGTACGCCATTGCTCTGTACATGTAGTTTTTTGGACATTGAGTTTGTTTATGGTTTGGTTTGGAGCTGTGGGATTGAAAAGTGGATCTATTGATAGTTTACAGCTGACGTCATCAACATTCGATGCGGGTGTGATGCTAACTGGAAGCAATACTGTGTTAGAAGCTCTGCTCCTCAAGGTTAGACTTAATCTGCACTTTAATTTAACACAATCTGACCAGAAAGAGCTGACTTGGTTGGAAGTACAGCAGATGAGCTGATTTGTGCTGTTAAACAAGTCTCTCAAACACATACAATGGCAGTCACAAGCAGTTTTTCAGTTCATCTTTTTTGTTGAAAATCGCCTAAACAGGACATGAATGCTTTGATCACAGGCTCCTGAAAATGCGCTGTTTAAATCCATGTTGTATTTTTTTCTTGAGTACTTCAGACTTAAAACCTTTTTTTGTCTGCGTCACCATGGAAACTGATAAATATTCCACCAATAGAGATACGTGCAGAACACCCCCAGCATGACGTCACTGCAAAATATAAATTCTCCACTTGTCCCTTTTACTCATTTTTGTTTAGTTATTCATTGAAAAATATAATTACTTTAGTCGACAAAAACATCTAATTTTAATCACAGTTTGGCACTGGATTTTGACATTGACGAAAAACTATGACAGAAACAGTTTAGTTGATGAAAGGAACACTGCTTTTCCGTACTCTGTGCGTGATGGAGGGGAAAGGGGGGTGGGGTTGAATGTGTGTACCTTATCTTGGCTGATGAGTTCTTGGTACGGGATGTGAGCCGGGAGGTACGTGTGGAGCAGAGCGCAGAACGCCAGACCATCGCTCCAACTGCTGCTGAAGTTTGTTACATCAATATTCTGTAAGGAAGAGTGGAGAGAGAGGAAGAGTGTCACAAACAAAGGAGTCAATAATATGATCATAATTGTTGTGGCTGTGCTAATAGCATCTCCACTCTCCACGTACGACATGGGACCACTCCACGAGAAGCACATCTGTTCACATCAACGGAATATTACATTTTGTTATACTGTTGTTTTATCATCACAAACATACCTGGAGTGGTGTTTTGTTTCATTCACACGTTTATCACACAAAATAATGTGATGTCATGTGGCAATGCAGGAAGTGCTGAACTGTTTTTAAACTCCACACACCTTCACTAGAATCATTTGGATGATTTCAGCCCTGGAAAACTATTACTGCATGACATCACAAGGTGGAACAGCGCAGTTTGAGATGTAGACAGACTAATATTTCAGGATTACTTAAAAGTTTTGTGTGTTAAATGTGTGAATGAAACAGAACACAAATCCAGGTATATTTTTGATGCGATAACAACATTTTAACATGGCTTAAAGTAGGGTGACCAAACGTCCGTTTTTCCCCGAACATGTCCATATTTTGCGTCTTGTCCTGGGCGTCCGGGTTTTTTTTTTTTTAAAGTGATGGAAATGCCCAGGTTTTCATCACAGTTCATTGGGGGCATTAAATTGATCGGCTTTCATAGTTCTCTGTGACTCAGAAGGAGCGAGCAAACACAGTCGGTCAGCCTGCAACATACCGAAGCACAAATGCGCATTTAACAATGACTTGTACAAGAAATTCTCAGTTTTCCATCCCGGTCGGGACAAGTGAGAGGCCATGTGCACAGGTTGCGAGTGAGAGTACAGTGGTCCCTCGTTTATCGCGGGGGTTCCCTACTAAAAATAACCCGCGATAGGTGAAATCCACGAAGTAGTCAACTTTATATTTTACAATTATTATATCTGTTTTAAAGCTGTAAAACCCCTCACCACACACTTTATACACTTTTCTCACACAGGACAGGTGCAACCCTTTTTGCATCCTTCTTAAAACTTATTGCTGCTGTCATCCTTTTGTTATTTTCCTTCCTTCTTTATGTAACGAACCCAAGATTAATTTATTCCGTAATGGAGACCTACAGCGCAGAGTCCTGCACGGGTCCGTTTTTGGAGACCTGCAGTACAACACCGCACCCGCCCGTTAACCCGTGATTATATCAAGCTTTTGCACTGCCTACACCATGGACTGAACCAGGACTGAACCAGGACTGAACCAGGACTGAACCAGGACTGAACCAGGACTGAACCAGGACTGAACCAGGAGTCATTGTCGGGACAGGCCGGAGGTGACCGCAGGAGAAGGGACCGATGGAGAGCTCCACACCTCATGGAGGTAAAATTGCCTGATCGCGTTTTGCAGACAAACTGCTCGGCGTTCTCTCTCTTAAGTCCAAGATTAGTCCTGGTTTAGACCTGGTTTAGTCCTGACCCACCCATGGGTTAAAAAATAATAATAATAAAAAAATCTGCAAAACCGTGAAAGGTGAACCATGATATAGCGAGGGACGACTGTAGCTCAATGTCGCGGCCCCACCTCCCACCCCCGGTAAGGTGTCCGGGTTTTTAAAAATGGAAATATGGTCACCCTACGTAAAGCTCACAAGAGTCATTTTTGCGTAATATATAACTTTTAATGAAAAAATAAGCACAATTTTGGTCAGGAAATGGTCCACTGTGTTTTTAAACTCCATACACCCTCACTAGAATCATTTGGATTTTCCCTGGAATTGCAAATCTCTACTGAACTAAAGGTAAAGGTAGCTGTTAACTTGAAAACTACCACTACATGACATCACAAAGTGGAACAGAGCATTGTGAGCATTGGGATGCAGACATACTAATAATAAAGGATTACTCAAACATGTGAAACAAAGCACAACTCCAGGTCTGTTTCTGAAGACGTGACAACATTATAACAGAAAATAGTGTAATATGGGCACTTTAATGAAACAACCTAACCCAACTCTACAATTCTTCTATTCTGATGTCAGAGCTCATAGAAGCGAAGAACGTGCACAAACCCATGTCCCGTTTGTAAGTCCGAGCTGTGAGAGCATTGTCACCTGACCTGTTTGATAAGACCACAGAGTTTAAAGAGAAGACTTCCTCAAATCCATTGTGTCCAAGAGCAGCCTCCACATTTGGACTCAAACATTTCCTGGATGGTCCTCTTTGGTTTCTATAATAAGACGCTCAGATCACTGGAATGTGGTGTGTCTGGACTATACATCTATGGATACCTCTGCAAAGGTGAAAGTACAAGTTACAAATTAAATGCCAAAAGTTCGATAAGGACTCCATTATGTGCCTGATATAAAAAATATATGTGCTGTTTTATGACTGTGTGGTATTTGATTTTGATTTATTTCATTCTTACCTACACTAGAAATATAAATTAAATACATTTCAATTTCAATGCAATAGTGTTAGGGTTGTAAAAGCTTTAAAAATAAATAAATAGGAAACAACTGTACCTTTACTAAACAGTTTTAAAATGGTTTTGATACATTTTAGAACTAGTATGAGACCACATCATAACTACAACTATTTTGTGTTGAAAATCAAATCAAAGTGTGTTTTTGTTATTTCAGGTATTTAAAATGTGACAGGTGGTAGGGGTAAATGAAAACGTGAATTTCCTGAGCCCTAAAGCCTCAAATGCTGGACCATGCAATATTTCTCACACATGCATGAATCAATCGAAATACAAGAGTAAACAAACAATGAGAGATAAAAATGGTTGAATATAATGGTTGAAATCTTAAGAAAGTAGATTTAATGGACTATGTCCCCTTTAATATTAAAGGTCCTATATTAAACAAAATTGACTCTTGTGAGATTTAAGCCATGTTATAATGTTCCCACTGCAAAAACATACCTGGAGTGTTTTGTTTTTGTGGTTTTGTTTTAACTAACCCTTTACTATTGTCTACATCTCCAAAGCTGAAAATGCTCCACATTGTGATGTCATGAAGTGTTAAGTTAGTGTTAGTTTAACAACTACTTACCACATGACATCACAGGATGGAAAGAGTGACACAACACCAGGTATGTTTGTGATGAGAAACAACATTATAACATAGATCAGAAACATAATACGGGCCCTTTAAGAAAATGAAAGCGTTGCCAAGATATGTTGATTATTTGTAAGTTACTGTGGTTATAAGACATAGAGGCTATACTGGCCTCTGTAGAAAGACACCTCATATTTTCAGAGATAAGAACACAGCAAAGGAATGTGTAACCTATACTCTGTGGGAAGATACTATGCAGCACAGACTCGTGTCAACTGCAGCTCACAACAAAGCTACAGTTTCTAGTGGGACCTGGTGAAATGAAAAAATTTTTTGTCATTCTTGTATTGATCACGAATCAATATTCAATCAGGTTTTTATTCAGCTTAAAACAATAGGCCTGTCACGATTATGACTTATCCTTCCATTTATGATAGCTGAAACAATGTATTTTGGGGCTCAATATTTATTGTGTATACAATTTCTTTCTTTTGCCATTTTTTGTAATAAGGTAAAGTATTTGAGCTGTAGAGGGTAGTCAATAATTTCTATATCTAATTATTATTAGTTAATTCTGCTATTTATTTTGTTACAGCTCATATCTTAAATGATACTGGTTTATTGGGATTATCCTGCATTGTAACAGTGACATAAAGTAGTTTCAGCATTATAATTTATTGTAATATTTCTCCGTAGCAATATATCGTACTTCAAAATTAGTTTGTTCACTCATTATCAAATGTCTGAACTTTGTCTGAACTCTACTCCAAAACCACATCATTTCCTGATTGATTAGAAATGGCAAAAAGCACCCAAGCTGATCATTTCCTATTAAGAAATGACTCAGTCTTGATTAAAATGTGATTAATTGCATTAGTTTCTATAGTCTAACCTCATCTGTCCGTCCAGTATTGAAGATAATAAGAACAGGCTCATATGGCTGTAGCTGATATAAGATACAGACCCTCCTCCGCAATGAACTCCTAATTCACACCACCATTAGTCACCTGACATCTTACGCACCGCCTAAACAACATGATTCTCTGTCACCTTTTCTCACCCCACAGATGCTCAGCTCTGTCTTTAAGCTTTAAGATACTGTGAGTCAATCAAACCTCTACAGCAAATGGTAGTGTAAAGGGAACAAGAGGTGTGGTAGCTTCTGGTAATGGAAAATTGTGTTATTTCCAGATAGTTAAAGCTCCTTTATTACGCAAAATTTAATCTTGTGAGCTTTTAGCCATGTTATAATGTTGCTACATCATTAAAAACATGCCTGGAGTTGTGTTTTGTTTCATTCACACGTTTGAGTAATCCTTGTGATGCCATGAAGCGGTAGATTTCAAGTTAATAGCTCCTTTTACTTTTTGTTCAGTAGAGATGGTTAATTTCTGGCCTGAAATCAAATTCTAGAAAAGGTGTACAGAGTTAAAAACAGAGTCCTTCCTGTATTACCATGTGATATCACACGGTGGTTTCCATTTAAGAGACAAACTCAGTCGTAATACTAGTATTAATGAAACAAAGCACAACTTTAGGTATTTTGATGAGAAAACAAGATTATAACATCAGAAAATAGAGTAATATGAGAAGCCTTTAATGATTCTGAGACTAGAAATGAAACTACATACTAATTTTAACATGCACAAATAAAATTGTAGAAAAAAAATCACATAGGATAAAACACAATCTTTCCTGAATAGTCTGGATGGTTTAAGATGGAATAATCTACCATCACACAATATTTAAGAAACTATGGGTAAGGTACACTTGTCCTTAACTCCATTAGCTGAAATTAACTATTTTGTGTTGAAAATTACACTTTGAGTCTTTTTGGCTGTTTCAGGTATTAAACCTTTTCCTAATTCCTACTTTCCTTATCAGCAAATTTGGGTCTAAATTTTAGAATGATGATAACATTACACCCTGGTCATATTTGTGGGAGCAGTGTGTAAGTAACACTCTTTTAGTTTGCAGCAC